TTTTTTTTTAGTGTACTGGGGAATTAAAGAAAATTTCTCAAAAGTATCATCATGTTTTCGTAAACTGATATATAGTGTTAAATTATTATATTAAATTTCAGTTTATTATAGCAGAAATCGTAAATAGCTGCATTATGTATAGCTCTTGCTTCGCTGAGCTTTCAGAAGTTAATCTGTGTCCATCCGCATAATCGAGGAGCAGGTCGATTTGTTTCTCAGTGCAATCGCTGTGGGATCTTAATTCTACTGACCGATGTTCTATAAATTTAAAATATTTTGCCCTGCCTAAATTCTGTAGCTCTCTACATTCTAAAACTTTTGCCGTTGTCAAGTGCCAAATTCTTAGAATTTCGCCATCCCTAAATTTTCTTGTTCGATGCCTCTTTACATTCTAAGAATTTTTCAGCCATTAATCTGCCTCCTGGCCAGACGTGTTTTTCGATGCCACATGTCACTGAAAAAGTTGAAAAATCGGAATTTTAAAAGCAAACTTCCTACTTTTCAATCAAATAAATTTTATCGATTAGCAGTGCTATGGAAGCATTAAAACATTTATGTAATAAATACACAAATACTTCAGAAACATTTTTTCTCTCTCTACTGAAGAAAGGCCTGTCTCTGACTACCTGCGAATTTGATTAAGTTTTATCCAAAATCTACGTCAAAGCGTTTCTTTTTGGCCTAATATTAAATTTTACATTGGCATGTTCCTCCTGTCCCTGCTTGATGTTGACAAGATTTATTCAAAACTTACTGTTCTTATTTTTTTATTTTAAAACAAACAATTTAAATGGAAATCCTCAGCTTGCTTTTATTTATTTAAATAATAACATTTGATAATGTGAATTGAGATCAAGAAGTAATTTGCGTATTTGAACCCAAAAAAATGTTAAACACCAATTTTGAAGCTTTTGTTTTGGTTTGCTTTATTTTTCCTTCAAAGCACGCGAGAGCTATCTGCCTAAAGGGAGGAATGCCTCCGTGGAGGACATTCTAAGAAAAACTTACTCGCGCCCACATTATGCACAGAGAAAAAAAACCACAAAAATTTCACTTTGAAAGGTAAAAGTGTCTAATTTTTTAGAGCGAGATTTTCCTAACAATGAATTTTAGCAATTTAATACAAGTGCTATATTTAATTAAGAATTAAAACAATGTTCTTTTGTGATTTACGTAAGGTAACTCTTTCTGTCAAAAATAATCATATGAAAATGCACCGAATTTCAGTACCATGTAATTTAGTTCGGAAACTGAGAGGTATCTGTGACTTCTTGTCTATATGTAGAAAATTTTTAATAAGGTTATTATAACTGAAATTTGTTTCAAAATAATCAATATTTCATAACTTCTATCAACCAATAAATGCGATAAAGGTAAACTGCCCTTTTATAAATATGAAACAAGATAAACGAAATAAATTTGTGGTAAAATGAATTACAAACATTATGTCGAAATGACCGACACTGAGCATGTGTTTGTTATTTTAATAGTAATTTAATTATCAATTACATGTAGCTTTCAATAGGAATTAGGTATTTTAAGCCCCTTATAAATTTTTTTTCTTAGCGTTAAAAGCTCGATAACATGAATCAAAAGCAGAAAATTAGTTAAACTACACTGTCTCACTAGTCGTAAGATTATATTACTGAAATATGCATATAAAAACAAATTAACATTTTATAAACGTACATTAAAATACCGAAACGCAATAAAAATCAATAACATTTATACTTAAAAAGCAACAAAGCCGGGCTCATGTGAATCACTAGAAGAGGCGCCAAATTGGCTATACGAATTCGAAAATTACTTTAATTATTAGAGGAAATAGGCTTCGTCAAACTTAAATCAATAAAAACAAACCAAAAAAAAATTCCAAGAAAACCTGGAAATTAATGCAATATGCATTTCAGTGTTATTTCTTATTTATCAAAAACGAATTTTTTAACGTTTTCATTTGAAAATTATAAATAATTGGCTACATTATTTCTCTGAATTTATAAAACTACGATTAAAAAATACTTTAAGAATTATGGTATAATTATGCTATAAGAGTTATGACATTTTGATTTAATACAATTACTTTTGCTTAATACAAGTGTAGCTATTTTTATATTTATATGGACGCGCATTGACCTTTCTGCCTCAGGTGAAAAATATCTTGGCACGGCTCTGATAAGCAATTAATATTAGAAATATGCACAAAATTAGTAACAAGGCAATACAAAACTTCCTTTTCTGTTTTGGATTTCCAGAAAAAAATATCTTTTTTCGTCTAACCAAAGCATGGACACAAAACGTGTTCCTTCCTCCGTAAGGGCAAAAGCAGCCCATCTGCTTACTCACCTCTAGGCGGTAATCAAAGGACAGTAGGAAACCATCACTTAAGTGAAACGACTTGTTGATCGCCCTACAAGAAGGGGGGAAGAAAATCTAACAAAGGCCGTTTTCAGGACAATTTTGGTTCACACTAAATGAAAAAAAAAATTGTAAACATGGTTAATTTTTACTGCAGTTTTCGAGACGTAAATAGATTTGAATGCGAGCCACCCGGTGGGTTAATTCAGCCAATTGGAACACTTTGCTTTACTTCTGGTAACCCTTAACATCCCATACTTATTTCAACTGTGTTACCATTTTCAACTTTCTTTTGCTGGAGTCTAATGTAAGTAGAGTTTAAAATTAATTTTGGCCCTTTTTTGTAGATGTTTTTACTGTATTTATGAACCTTTAGTTTATTTCTTTTATTTAAATTTTTATTCCAATTACCTTTTTATTGTTAGCTTTGAATATTGTTCTCTATGATCACCTTGTTTGTTTTTACTTTTTATTGTATCAAAAGGTCTGGCCACAGGTCGGAGAATTATCTCGCAGACCGAAATTATAAGATGAGATTCGGATATGTTAAATTATTAGTTTTACAGGATTTTTTTTTTTTATTTGCAAGATGACGAAACGCACTTTCATGAATTTGTTGATGGTTGTGTGGGCAGATTCCAATTCCCCTTAAAAAGTTAGGATCCTTCTATGGAACCAGCAATGATTCTTCTGTTTTATTCTACTGTCTTTCTTTTATTTTTCCATCATAGTGCACTCAGAAATGCTTTATGTGACAGAATTTTTCCATGAAATACTTGTATAGACATTAGTTAACTAAAAGCTGGAGAGAGGAAAAATGTACAACGCCTTCGCCCAACCACGGACCTCTGGAATATGCACCCAGCATGCAGACCACCACACCATGAAGGCATGCTAGGAAGACGGGAGAAATACCTTGAATACTTCCACTTTCTAAAGTTTTAAGGGGACATAATCGCCAAATCCTGGGTGAGGGGAATCGTCCACCACCACCCTTTTAGTTTGGGTGCCACTTGTAAAGACATTAGTTATTCTCAGCAATATTTTAAAAGATAATGAAATTCCTTTAAAATTCATTAATAATATGCTAAAGAAATCTGGAGTAATATACACCCTATAATACTTTTTAAAAGTATGAATTTTTTTATCTGAAAGCTCCAAAAGAGAAGGATAAAGAAGGGTGTTTTAAAGGGTATATAGGTTTTTTTTTTTTTCTTTTTAATTACTATTCTGTTACTAACATGGCCTTATATATTTTCAAAGTCGTCATGAGAAGCCCATGACGAGAAAACTTTTTACTTTTCTGACATTGTTCCTTTACTTCCTTTTTCAACTCTTTCTGTAATTTTAAAGTACAAAATTTAAAAGCTAAAATTCAACTTTATATTACTCATATCTGCAAAACAATTATTTAAAACTGTTTGATTACTTTTTGGATAACCTTTTTGAGTTTTTTTAAGGATAAATTGATTTTAAAATTTAATTAAAGTTTTACACTAAATAATATTATTTATTCCCTTTTTGTTTTACAAGAGTAAGATTTTACGTAAATTTCATTCAATTAAGATGCATTCTTTTTCTTTGACTAAAAAATAAAAATAAATTTTCATTGAAATATTTAAATTTTTCTTATGATTTCAAAATTACATATTACATACAAGATTTTAGCCTTTTGAGCAATTACTTTCTAGCCAAGGTTTTTTAGTTTCACCAATGAAGCCAAGATGGCAAACCTGTATGTACCTTTCTGTTTCGACTCTAATGTTTAGACTTTGCCTAATGAGTATAATGAATGTGATGGAAGTTGTTAATTACCTTTGTGTGTTCTAAAAAGTTTTTTTCAAATACATCTTAATTCATTGGATTATCTGTTTAAAGGTAAACATTTTGATTTAAAATTTTTCACTCAAGTACTTTGCTTTTTCACTTTCATTTTCAATTCTTTTAAAAGGACAGAAAGATTATTCTAATTTTTCTAATAAGAATTTACTTTGTTTTTTCCTTGTTTTGGGAAAGGCCAGAATTTTTGGGTGAACTATTATAATTATAATTAAAGTACATTGAAATGGTTCATCGGCTAATTCTGGATACAGAAAAGCAATGATTTTTGTAGAAGAGAGATTTCAATTAATTTCAAAGTTCCTCCCTCCAGATGAAGTGGCATTGAGGTTGATTGAATTTCTCTTCTGTTTTTGTTCATTTTTCATTAAATTTAAAAAAAAGTTTTTGAAGTGGGGTTTTGCTTTTTTGAAATGTTTTGGTTTTAACATTTTAAAATTCTTTGTAGCATTTATATCATTATTTGAAATTTATTAATTATGAATTTCAATTTCTGGTCTTTGTGAAATATCAGTTCTAAATTTCTTACGTTATGTCTTATATATATATATGTACATGTATATATATATATACATAATAATCTACACTAAATTGCCTGGCAAGAGGTTAAGGTAACTGAAATGTATGGAATAATTAGCTACTTAACATCTTAATAATAACATGCAATTTTCTTTTTCCACATTAATTGAAGAATTCTGCTTCTTTCAACAAATTGGAAAAGCAAAATGTGCCTACTTAATTTATAGTTCATTGCATTTATATAAAAATGATACAGATAATGCGAAGAAAGAATAAAATATTCTTACTTCATCTGCAGCCTGACAAATAGCATCTGCAACACGAGAATCGAGACCAAATTCTCTGTTGACTTCAGCAGCTGCTTTCTTTAAGATTCCAAATGCTTTGATAACTGGTTGCTGAAATTATAAAAGCAGTTAGCTTTGAATTACATTTCAAAATTAAAGACAAAATTTGTATTAATGTCTTACGTCAAAATAATGGACTCAGTCTGACATTTTAAGTCTTAATTACCAAATTTTTATCACTGTATTAAAGAAAACTGCTTTTAAATTATATACTATTACACGGAAATCAATGAAAATACTTATTTTCAGTGCGAACTGATTGACTGAGAATAACAACACGGCCAAAATAAATTTTTAACTGGTTCTATTATTAAAATATTTGCAAGAGAATTACAAGGAGTTCTCCATATATAAGTAACCAAAAATATCACATTAATTTCTTGGTACCACTGCACTATCTATCCCACTCTAACACTAGACAAAGCATTACATTGCCAAAATAGGCAATCCAGAATTTTACAAAATGTATTTATCTGGCAACCCAATAATGGTTGTGTGTGTATTACATCAATGCATAATGCTAGCGTCTATCTTGGTGGTGGAGATAATGGGCACAGTTTTGAAATTTGAGGAACATGTTTGTGGTTTCTGCTTGTTGTCATTTTAAAGAATGGAGTTTTCCCCTTTGTATCAAACTGTATAATGCCGCTGTGGAGTCTGTGAACCAATGAAAAAGTGTTGCATATTTTCGGAAACATAGCATTTTGCTTAGAAGTAGAAAGTGTATGAATGCAAGTTCCATAAAGGTAATTCATGAATTTTTTATTTTTTTTAAATTGAAACAGGTCGATTCGTACATGGAGAGCAGTGACAGTGACAGCTTGCTCTGTAATTTTCTGATACATTTTTTAAGTTGATATAAATACTTTGCAGGAGGGTTATAGGAGGATAATGTGAGAGTACTAATTTCTTTAATCAATTTTTGATAAGCAAAAGCATTACCAATTGATATCTATTTACATTACTGCAAAAGAAATTCAAGATTTTTTTTTAACTGCAAGGTTATCAAAATTTAAAATTTGTAAAAAAATAATAAATAATTTTTTATAATAAAAAAGCAAATTCAATAAATTATATATTATCAGGGAAAATTTTATGCCTGAAACTATGAATTATTCTCAGAGTTTGTGACATTAAAACTATGAGATCAAACATTCATAGCAGAAAGAAAGATAACAGTATCAAAAGTTATTACAAAATGCTCAAAAAATGAATTATGAATTTCACAAGACCCATCAAAACATTACAAAAAGTTTATTTTCAAATAAAAGGTTTGGTTTAGTTGATTTATGTGATTACAGCAAAGCCTTAAGGGCTATCTACATAAGGGGAAGAGATGCTTTTGTGGAGGACTTTCTACGAGAAACTGGCTCATATACATGTTACACATGGGGAAAACCACGAAAACACCTATGCAGCCAGCCCATTCACTGAATTCGAACCTCGGACAACCCTACCAGTGTTCAGCAACTTTACCGCTCGGCCACTGATAGGCCTTTCAAATAAAAGGCTTTATGATATGTTATTTATTAGCTTTAGGAGCATAAACATGTTATTGAACATCTCTTACTAACTTAAATGAAATTACTAGCAATGGAAATGTTAATAATAATGTTTCTGCTGATTCCAAACACAAAGGCAAAATACAGTACACAGTAGTAGTAGTATCAATTATGCCTATTATTTCATGAAATTATTAACATATTTTTTAAACTTTTTTTTAACATTTTTAACCTTTTTTTGTTGTTGTTGGCCAACAAAAAATTTTGAATTGTCAATTCTGCATAAAACTTTAAAATTTAGTCACTATTATACATTTATAGATAAATGAAACATGAAGAAATTCTCCAATTTATTAATCATGCACTGAATAAAAAACATTTTACTTCTGAAGAAACTGGAACTTTGTCTGCTTGCAACATAAACTGATAGTTTTATTCAAAACCTATGCCGATCTAAGGATGCTATTTTTGCTAATTTTAAATACTATACAGACATGTTCTTTTTATCCCAATTATTTATTTTTTTTCTTCATACTTTTCCTAATAGCAATTTGAGGTAAACCCTAAAGTGAACCGAAATATTTTCTTTTGGGAGAGTTTGGATGTTCTGAGGTTTTATGTCCTATCTTAACATGTAATTTGTTAAGTGATAATATTTTAATACATGAATATACAAGAATTTACATAATTGACCTAAAGATAAAAGTATATATTAAAATAAATCTAAAAAATATAAACTTTTCACGGAATTAGAAATAAGTTATTTAACACATTTAAAATGACTTGAAGCCTTTTTTTATTTAAATTGGGAAGGACTGGAATGAAAGTATTTTTAATTCATTGTGCATTAGAGAATTTCCGATTTAGAAAAGATCCAATTACTTTTGTGTAAAACAGTATTTTATTAATGTATGTAGACACTTCATATGAATTTTGGAAAAAACATATCCTGTCCAGATAGAAAATATTAATATGGGATAAAACATGGATTCGTAGATGAGTTACTTGTATCCAGATTTTAATCCAAGCCCAAATTTCATGCTTTCAACCCTTCAATAATGCAAAACATTTTCTAAACTTACTTTAATTTCATTCAATGCTGCAAGGTTTTCTTCACTAATAGTTTTGCATTATAAGATAAAAAGCATGCCAAACAATTTTCTATAGAAAGATGTATGCATCAACACTGCCCAATGATTACCATTAAATATATTGTTCTTTATTCTTTTAAATTTTTTCTTGTTTCCAGAATTAATGCGATCAAGAAAAAGGCTTTCAAAATTCATCATTTTATTTTGTTCTTTGTTTAGTGATAACTGACCTAATATATATATCAAGTTTTAATGAAAGTTTCCCATCATCGCAAATACTGTCAGCACAAACAGTTCATGTTGGTGTGTTTAGTCATATTCTGTCAAACGACTTATGGCATTTGAAAGAAAGAGACTTGCTTTAGAACACTGTGCAGTAAAATTTGTAAAAATTTATCGTTATCATTAAGTACAAGGTGTCTGAAATGGAACTATCATGCTATCAGATTAGAAACCATCATTCCAGTTCTGTTGCAAAAAGTCAGCAATAGAATGTCACCAATCATGTGTACAGCTTTAGGTACTAATGTTGTTATTTTATGATACTGTAAAGGTTTAATACCAAAAGTTCAAAATCAAGGACTATGACATTAAAAAAAACACAGCGCTCTGACTGGCCTACTGATGCTGATGAGGCCCGATCGCAACAACTTGTGGAAGAAAATCAGTGTACAACCACTTATAAGCTTGCTAAGGAGTTAGATTTAGTACAGTACAAAGTCCGAAATCCGGATGTCCATTATCCGGAATGATCTAAAATCCAGACCTCAAACCACCAACAATGTTTTTCTCCTACACTTTATGCATGCGCATTTGCTTCCCCTCTCCGTGCATAATAAAACATTTGGAGAGTCATGATTCTTAATTTTACTTTGACACTAAATAAAATACCTTGTTATTGAATTTTAGCATAAATTTGTATGATCAGTAATTTGGCTCCGTTGCTGCGTATCTGCTTTTTGGCACACATCTCCAACCAAAACATTCCACACAGATACATCACAGATCTGACGCCAACCTGGCAAATCATTATTTATTATACTTTCCTTTCATCACCGCACGTTTATCAAAACATGACAACTTGAGTAATGACTCATATAGCGATACCTAAACATTTTTTATGTTAGTAATTGAATAATAAAGGAGTATGGTAACCTTTTATGTTAACTCTTTTCAGATTTAAGTTAAATGAGCTAAAATATTATGACGACGAAAAATTTACCAAAAATTTCTTTCCATATACTAAAAATAGATTTTGTTGATGATACCCATAGACCCAAAGATAACATTTAGAGCTCTTTGAATTAAAAATACTGATCTATTATTCACATAAACCCAGAACCAGTGAAGTTACAGAATTTAGGACCCACAGAGACTGCATCAGGCAGTAAGATATCTAGTGCTGGCTATTAATAAGGCTTAAGTATATGTGGGAATTTATTTAGAGCTCTGATAAGCCTTAAGAAGCAAGATAAAATTTAATGGAACAATTTGTCGTTAGTTGCCAAGCTCATGTTGGATAGCCAAATATGTATAGTGAACGATAGCTAAATTTGATGATGATAGTCGCGAATTTTAAAGGTTTTCGGATATCACAAAACAAAGGTGAAATTTTCCAATTAACGGATTTTGTAAAGAAATGCGGAGAAGCAGCAATAAATGAAGATTCTATACAAGAAGTTTTTCATTGTGATGACAATGCTTCTTAATCATCAATCAATTAATGAATGGGGAAATCTGTAGTATGGTTCTAGATCCAAAAAATACCGCTACTAATAGTGAAGAAAGTGACACAAAAGTTACTGAATATGAAAAAAAAATTTGATTGACAAGTTAGTCGGAATTCTCGACACAGCAGTTACAGGACTTCAGCAATGTAACTGAACAAGAGATTATGTCTGTCTACAGAATTAAAGAGAAAATATTAGCACAAAAAATGAAGCAACTTAAACAACTTACATCGAAAGAAATTTTTAATAAGGTAAGCAAATAAATATTAAGCTTTTTTTTTTTTTTTTTTTTTTTGTAAATTTCGATACCCTTTAGATCATAAATACTTTATTATTTCATAAAACATGATTTCATATTTTTAATTTTATAATTTCTACACGCCATCTTACTAGATTTAAACTGATGATCTAATATCCGGAAAAATCCCATATCCGGAATCGCCGAAGTCCCGACGAGTCTGGATTTTGGACTTTGTACTATGAACGCTATCATCACATAAACTTGACGTACAAGTTCAATCGTTGGATGCCACATGAGCTGACTTAAGCAGATAAGAACAGATGTATTTGGGTATGCACTAATCTGCTCAAATATCAACACAAGGGCAAAATTCTGGACTGGATTGTCACTTGTGATGAAAAGTGAATTTACTTCAACAACACAGGCTGAAAAGGGGGTTGGTCTGTGACCAGTGAGCCCGTCGGCAGTGTTGCAAAGTGCAATTTGA